AAGCAATTTATTTTCTTTTAATCAAAGTGATGATGGATGAGTTGGAATCTATAGACATCTTACTACTAATAGTTGGTTGAATTGCCTCCAAGCAAAAAAATGATAGATGATTAGTACAATTGGTAAGTCATGTTTCCATATTTATTGCATGTTAAATACATGTAAAATATGAAAATATATTATCCTGTCATAATTTTTGTAAATTTGTCAAACACGTAACGTATTTTTGTTTTTGTCAAAATTATATACAGTTTTTGCTAAAAATTTATATTTTATTACTTTCGTGTATGTTTTTATTGTTTTATATCAAATCATTGTATTGTGTTTAAAATTTTCAAATCTAATAACTAGCTAGGATAAAAAATACTTAATTAATTATATTATTCATTTCCATGTTTATCATTAGAAATGCCAATTGATAGGGTGTGGAATGAATAAAATATTTCTCATCTCCATCTTCGATTTTTTGTATTATACTCAACAAGCACCCATATCCAATAGGCATTTTAAGATTATTCTCATCTCCATCCTTGTAGATATTTAATCAGTATGAATAGTTTTTGTATTTATAGATTTTAAAAAAATAAAAATAAAAATTATCTTTTAGCTTTTTTTTTTTGTTAATTTTACACATTTATGCAATTTTTTTCTAAATTTATATTTTTACATAGAAATATATTAATTCCAATTAATTTAAAATAAAATTTATATTATTCAATATAAAATCTATTTATTATATATAAGGATATGGATACGAGTAGGGACAGATTTAGGATTTTTCTTTAGTGGAGGTAAATGGGAGTAAATTTATTATATAATATATTTACTTAAAATTTTTTATTTAATATAAAGATAATATTTTTTAAATGTAAAACAAACTTTAAATAAAAGAATTTGAAATATTTCTTACAATATTAAATATATAAAAAATTTAAATAGAAATTAATACAAATATAACAAAAAACTTATAATATTAAATAAAAAAAATTTAACTATCAAATAAACACAAATACATAATATTGTCATTTTTCAAATGAAAATAGTATTATATAATTGAGTTAAATAGTTTTCATAAATAGAAAATGTAGGATTTCTTTTTCATTGTCAAAATTAAAAGATATATAACTTTATTCAATGTCAATATTTCTTTTAAAATTCACTTTCTCTTACTAATGATATTTGTTTTTGACTAATTTTTAATCAAATACTAATTTAATTTCTCTATAGTTTATAAGGCATAAGATAAGATATGAAAATACAAAATAAGACTAACAACAGGCTACTTTTATATATATTTTAACTTTTAAAATAATTTTAAAATTGATGCTATTTTTTTTTTCTAAATTTTAGATTTTGTTAGATTACATCTCTACAACATTATTTTACATCAAATATATATTATGAAAAATTCTAAATAATATTAAAAAAACACCTTATCACATTATCAATATAAAAGAAAAACAACAAGAGAAGAAAGTACTTAGATATGTTAAAAATAAATTTTTATATCATGAATATTTTGTTGTAGTTCCATTTTACCCGATACCTATATTTTACTATACAAAATTAGTTTAACTTTAATTTGTGCTTTTTTTTCTTTTTACAAATATTTTATCATTTTATGCTTGATTTTGACACTTTTACAATAATATAATGATATTTCATATAAGTAAAAAAATGAAGTATGCAAATGAAAAAAAAAAAAGGAGACTAGACAGATGGGGGTAAAAGAGAGAAAAGTAATATTAGGTTGTAACTTAAATTAGTTAGAGTGAGACTTACATGAAATAATTATTTATAAACCAAAAAGTTATTAATATATACATATAATAATTTATTTTGAATTAAGTCCATTTTTTTCCTAAAGTATATTTATACTTTATAATATTTTTAAATCCCTTCCCTTTATATCTTTTTTTTCAATTTAGTGGGGCTAAAATGTAAAAATATTAAAAATTTTGACTAATATCATAATATATTTTAAAAGAATTTTAAGATTTCAGAGGAGGCAGTTAACCCCACTGCCCACAGTGTAAATCCATCCATAGATACAGGTGCTCAATATGTGCTATATTATTTATCTCTGTATCTAATAAAAAATTTAAAATTATATTCATTTCCATTTCAAAATTTAATACTTATCTTTATCTTCAGAGAAAAATTAGATTTCCTATTAAATTTGGATATGATTCATATCTCTTTTCCTTCTTCTTCTTCTTCTTATTGTTATTATTATTATTATTATTTGGAAAAGCAAGGCGGCGCACTTTAATAATATCAACGAACTACGTAAGGACGAATTGTGTAGCGATGAACTGCGTAGCTTTTCCATTGAAAATGATATCATTGCGGTGAAGCCAAAAAGACCAAATGTGGGAGTCGATGGAATTGTAAAAATCAAGGGGGTTTGGTTTTAGATTAACCAACAATGATTAACTTATTGTTTTTGTATATCAAAGTAAACAAGGCAGCCCAGATTTTTGTTTTGTGTAACGACAGCAAAAATCAAGGGGGTTTGGTTTAAGATTAACCAACAATGATTAACTTATTGTTTTTGTATATCAAAGTAAACAAGGCAGCCCAGATTTTTGTTTTGTGTAACGACTGCAATCACGTTCGTTGGGAGAGGACAGCATGGGACGCACACCGTTTTGGGTTTGGTTGATTTGAACCACTAACCGAAACCATTATCATATTCTTGCAATCATAGAAAAACCATCTTTAGCTCCAAATAGAGAGGAGAGAGAGGAAGGTGACAGAGATTTTGTTTATCATTAACCATCTTTTACAAATATTTGCAACTAAATTGCGGATTTTAGAGGTGTTTGAATTGAATACAAATTTACATGTACACGTTCTAACCAACACTTTGTCTAGTTAACATAAAGAAATGAAGGAAAATTGATTTTATTTAGTGAACCCTACTAGTTTTGGAATTGAATAGTAACCATTTCAAATTGAGTCTAAATTATCAAGAAAAATTAAGTTAACGATATCTGCTTGTTATGCCCTTGCTTGTGAATCCAAACTCATGATTTGATGAATGAAAAGAAAAATTAGTACGTTCAATCAATTTTTATTCTACAATAACCTCATTTTAATTTGGCTTAAATATTAAAAAGTTTCTAAACTAAAATTAAATAATCATTAAATCTCTATCATTTTATTGCAATTAATTGAATTTTTAAATATTTATTTTCAATTAAATGAGCCTTTAAATATTTATTTTTACATAATTAAACTCTCAATTAGATGAAAATTAATGATGACGATTAACCAATTTTGTCCAATAAAAGTCCAATTAGGTAAAATTAAATATTTGAGAGTTTAATTAATTATACTAAAATAATAAAAGTTTGAATGATTATTTAATTTTAACAGGATACTTTAAATTTTGCTTAACTAGTCATTAAAAATTCAGAATTAGAATTTTATTTCCTGCTTATTAACATTTGTGAGATCAGTAGTTAGCCAGACCTGCCCTGAATTGTTAGTTAGGCAGCCGACTGCGACATATTAAATACGGATAAAAACATGTTAGTAATTTTTCTGTTTTCTTTTTTCTTTTTTCTTTTTTTAAACATTAGACCATATTCTTGGAAAAAACTGATAGATTGGATAAATCAGAGGGAGAAGAGTCCTGTAAAGGACTTAATGTTGACTTTAGAATTGGTCTTATTTAATGCCTCTATACAAACCTTTCTTTTTTCTCCAAATGGATTGAGAAAAATTAGAAAATTAAAACTGCTAGAAAGGTCTTTCAAATATATATATATATATATATTTTGGGAGCCTTGTAATTTATGGTATGTTTGATACATAAAATTATGATAAAATAAGATTATATTATAAATAGAATTAAATTAAATAATATTATTTTTTATTGTGTTTGATTTGTAAAAGGAATAGAATAGAATAATTTTGTTTATTGGTTAAAATTATCCTTCTTCAAAATTTATAAAATTTAAATTATAGATGTAATTTTTAAAAATATAATAAGATATGCAAATTTAATCTCATTGATTAAAAATAATTCTCTCTGTTTTGGAAGGATTAATCATCCAATCATATCATTTTTTTAGAGATAAATCAAAATATGATATTAGATAATTATTATTTTATCCTATCTATCATATTTGCACCAAATATAATTTTAATTCGTCATTAAAATATTAACATTAATTCAATATATTTTATAATTTCATTAACAATTAAATATATATTACATGCTAAAAAATAATATATATATATATATGTGTGTGTGAGTATGTGCGTGTGTGGTCAAATGACTTATGAATCAAAATATTGGGTCTAGAGTGATTCTCTTTTCAAGAATAATGCTAAATTTGTGTTTAAAAATTTAAGGCTTCTCATCTTAATTTTATACTTAGGGAACGTTTAATTCACAAAATCTTAAATTTTAAGAAGAAAAATAATCTCGAGTAAGTGTGGATTATTGGCAATAGCTTATTCTTCGTATTATGAAAATATTAAATTATTGTGTTTGATTCGAGGAAAAGTTAGATTACGTAATAAAAGTTTTTTACTATAATAACTTTAATTACATGTAAATAACACATGACTAACATTTCAACTACCAATTATATTATTAAAATTAAAATGTGACCATCATTAAATAACCAAAATAAAAAAGTTTTCATTTTTATAAATTTAAAAGGAAGATGATTTATTATGAATAAAAATTAAATAAATAAAATCAAAGATTACAATTTTTTTAAAAAAATATAAATGCAGTCTTTGATAAAAATATAAGTCAAAGACTACATTTTAATAAGTAAAGACTATATTTTATTGGATATAGATGTAGTATTTATAATAAATACTACATTTCTATGAAAAGAGACATTATATTTATGAAAGTAAAAACATAGTTTTTGATTGAAAAATTCTTTTACAATCATTATGTTTATAAAAAGTAAAAACATGATTTTTTATTAAAAAAATTATAATCATTACGTTTATGCAATCACTAAGTTCATAAAAGTAAAATCATAATCTTTGATTAAAAAAATTTACAAACATTACGTTTATAAAAGAATAAACATTATCTTACTTTACCTTTTTTCTTTTTATCCCATTTAAAAGTGGTCATTTTCTACATTATTTTCTCTTTATGTTTATGACATGAGATTTAATTTTTTCAATTAAATGAAACTAACCACTATGTTTACTTTTTTCTTTCATTGAAAGGTATTGAAAATAACCGCTTTCAACATAGGAAAAAAATGTGAAAGACTGTTCCTAACATTATGAAAGTATTTAATAATGAAGGTCACGTGAAAGACTTTTTTTCTTTTAAACGTGAAAGACTAGGCTCTACCCTAAAAAACGTAGTTAACTTCTTTGAAACGTTTTGAAAATGACCTTGTTGATATTTATGAAAGTAGAAACATAATCTTATTTTATTTTTTTCTTTTTACAAATATTATGTTTATGTGTTGAGAAAAGTAGTTAATAATATCAAAGACTATGTTTTTGCCTTAAAAATGTAATTAAAATAATATATATATATATATTTTCATTATCAATCAAGTTTCAAATATAAAAAAGGTAATTTTTTTTAAATAAAAACTTCAAAGCTATAAAATTATAGTTATCTATTATGTTTGTTCTTTTAAACATAATATTTTTATTATATATAATATACTACGTGTCTAATTGTGTACCAAGTATCCAACCAAGTGATAAGGATTGCACTTTTATTCATTCTTGTGGCTATGAATGCCCATTTCCTTATCATAATGGGTCTCTAGATATTGATTTTCAAGAGTAAAATAATTAGAAAAAATTATTATTAAAGTTATATGACAAAATTAACTTTTCTCTTGAAATTTTAAAAAACTACAATGAAATATGAGTTTCTAATTTTGGGATACTTGGGCATTATTAGAAATTTTAGAATACCCATGAGAATTAGATACAATAAACTAAATGTCGGAATCAAATTAAAAATAAATTTCAAAAATAATCTTTCTTCTTATTGTGTGACAATCGATCACTAGCAAAGTTCACTTTTCTTGTCTATATATATTTCCTGTTTTATGAAAATCTTTGATTTTTCTTTTGACGAGAAGAAATTCATGTGTATTCAATTAAATATCGAATCAAATATAAAAATAATTAACCTAAACTTAATCTAACAATTGTTATAATATCATTTAAAAGATTCAAAATTTTCGAATCCGCCTTCTTTTAAACTGCTCATATGTGCTAAGAAAGATCATAAGAATATACTAAATATAACTTTTACCATATCCAATTGACCATCCATGTGCATGAACAAAGATTACAAGAGGTGTGTCCTCCAATGTTTAATTTCGGTTTACGTTTCCAAACATTTTTGAGAGCCTTTTCCTTGTTAAAGATCAAAAAGAAATTAATTAAGATTATGAGGTGGTGGCCCAGAGAAGTTGCAACTAGAATATGCCATGCATCATTTGCCATTCTTTTCACACTTCAAAAAAATAATTTGTAAATGGTATAAAAAAAAAAAAAAAACTTGATTAATTGATTTGAGTGGCGTGAATCTCATCTGCTTTGTATAGAAAAAGAAGATGGCATGGCTCATGTCACCAGTAAAAAATTCTGAATATGGTGGTTGTTCTTATTTGGTGATCACAGCAAATTTAGCTAATAATTTTCTCAACTAAGGGTCAAATCAACTGACTTAATTGACAACAACATGTGAGATTTAAATAAAATTGGTGCTTGAAGCTAGCTGTGGTGATCCTATCATTACCTTCCAAACAAATGGCTTCAAGTGTTAAAGGTCAGATTTTGTTTTAGAGGTTAATGAGATTAAATAATTTCTTTCTCATTTAGTCTTTTTTTCCTTTCTCTTTCGGCCTTTCCTTTTGTTGAAACATTAATTTGAACCTTGAAAAGCAATATATGCAATGCCACTTATACATTAATTCGCAATTACAATGAGAAAAAAATTAGTCTGGTTCATAACAATTGACCACGAAAAAGAAAATATAATTAAAAAGTTGTTTTATGATCACATTTCTAACCCCTTTGTCTCGTGTAATTTTAAATACTTGTGGTTATACCTAAGATTACAACTTTAAATATTGTTGCTTTATACATTAATTATCAGTGAAGTTTGTAAAAAATTTAATCACTAACTTTGTTGCCTGTATATAGAAGTAATAATTGTACCTTATTACAATATAATAATAATAATAATAATAATAATAATAATAATAATAATAATAATAACCTTAACCTTAATTAGGATGTTTGTTGTGACATAAGAAGACAATTGCTATATTTAGATTTTGTTGGTCAATGCATATTTAATTTATTTCATTGATTTTTATATGAAATGTAATTTGTGATTATAATTATAATTTCTACTATAATTGTCGTAACGGTTTTGTGTCCGCCCGACGAATTTGGAAACGAAATAAAAAATAACGGAATCGCCACCAATCTTTTTTGGCTAGGTGCGATTGGCCACCTATTAAAACATATCCTTTTAATGAAATCTTAAAATTAATTAAAATTTATTAAAAAGATAATTTTACGGTCTGCGAAACAGTCTGGGTTCGGGAGTCGATTACGCGTGGGGAAGGATTAGCACCCCCACAACGCCCGTTAAAAAACGGTACCAATTAACAACGTGTTATCCTTTGATTTTGATACAAACAGTCTTATTTTCAGTATTCGAAAAATAATTTCTTTGATTTTTATTTATTAAAATTATTCTCGAGAAAAATAAATCAAAACCTTTTTATTGAAATAATTCTTAAAATGTTCCAGTACGTTGGTAACATTAAAAGAACTCTTTCTCACCTAGAGATTTCTTAAAGCATCTCTATTCGGAATACTTTTAGAATCTCATCTTTGGAGGTCTAAATTTACTTTTCGTAAGAAATTATGTTATGCATGCCATGCAAAATATTTTCGTGTTTATGCACACATTTTATTCTCATTCAAAAATTTTATTAATTATTTTATTAATTTTATTAATTTTAATTAAAATTTTGAAGAAAAAAGGAATTTAATCATATTGAAGATTTTCTATAAATATTCCAATACGCTGGTAATATTTTACAAAAAATCTTCTCACCTAGAGATTTCTTAAAGCATCTCTACTCGGAATACTTTTAGAATCTCATCATTGGATTAAATTTCTTTTCTTCTTATTTTTATTACTTATATTTTTTATTATATTCATTAATTTTTATTTATTATTCTTAAAAAAAAGAAAACCTTTACTGTATTGAAAAATTTTTATAAATACTCCAATACGCTGGTAGTACTTAAAAAAATCTTCTCACCTAGAGATTTCGTAGGCATCACTACTCGGAATACCTTTGAATCTCATCATCGGATAAAAATTTCCTCTTCTCTTATTTTTTATTAGTTATATTTTAATTTATTAATCAATTTTTATTTATTATTTTTTTAAAAAAGAAAATCTTTACTGTATTGAAAATTTTTTTATAAATACTCCAATACGCTGGTAGTATTTTAAAAAAAAATCTTCTCACCTAGAGATTTCGTAGGCATCACTACTCGGAATACCTTTGAATCTCATCGTCGGATAAAAATTTCCTTTTTCTTTCATTTTTTTACTACTTTAGTATTATTATTAAATTTATTTTTTATGTTATTGTTTTTAAAGTTTATTCTAAAAAATAACATAATTATATAAAAAATTATTTAACCACAATTTCATTAATTAGTCTAACAAATATAGATATTTTAATATGCATAAATATTAATAAAATAATACTTAAAAAATAAGAAAAATTCAAAAAAAAAAATTTTTTTTTACCTGAACTGGACCGGTCAACGGTCCGGTCAACTCCTGGTTCGGTTCGGCGGTTCGGTTCGGTCTGGTTGGTTCGGTCCGGCGGTTCAGTTCGATCTGGTTGGTTTGGTCCGGCGGTTCGGTTCGGTCCAGTCAGACCGGTCAGAGATGATAAAGGCAGCGGGTCGCGGGTCGGGTGCGCGGACCCCGGGTCGGGTCGCGGGTTGACGCGCGGATCCTCCTTGGCTGAAACGGCGTCGTTTTGGGTCTTTATCTAAACGACGTCGTTTTGAGATTTTGCTTTACTATATATAGCTGAAGATTTTTTTTTTTGGTTCATTTGGCTTCTGTTTCAGAAAAAAAAGGGAGAGAGGGAGAGAGAGAGAGCTCTGGGGGAGAGGTCGTCGGTCGGTTGCCGGAGCACCGTGCCGGCCGCCGTCTGGCTCGCCGCCGGCAGTCTTGGACGGTGGTTTCTGATGACCGGGAAAGGTGAAAATTCTTCTGGAAGTTCTCTTCGACGCGATCTTTCCAGATCCGGTGTCCTTTTTACCGGAAACAGCCCTGATCGACGTAGATCGGGGCTCAAAGTTTCGGTCTCTCTTTTTTTCTTTTTTTTTTTTTTTCTTTGAATCTGCTGATCTCTTTCTTTTTTTTTTCAGGTGGCTTTCTGGCGCTGGGTTCCCCGTTCCAGGGGACTGTTGTTTTTTTTTTTTTTTGTGTGTTTTTGCAGAATTTTTTTTTACAGAAGCTGCCTTCTTCTTTTCCTTTTTTTTCGTTCCCCTTTTAGTCTAGTTTACAAGCTATATTTATAGAGCTTGTTGGGATTCAAATCTCAGATTTTCTGAGATTTGAATCTCATTTTTCAACTGAAAATCATACCTACCGTCCGTGATTGGTGGCTTGTCGGGAGGCTGATCGGGTAGTTGGTCGGGCCAGTTCGGCGCCGAACCAACCCCTTGACTTTTGTTTTATTTCTGTTTCTTTTGTTTGTTTATTTTTTGTTTTTTGTTTGTTTTGTTAAATATTATTATTATTAAAAAAAAACAGTAGATCCGGACAAAACCGGTGTCTACAGCTGCCCCTCTTTGCACATTACTGAGAATCAGGAATAGGGCAAAGACAAAGACGACGATTTTGTCCGAAGATAAATCCTGATTTGATTTTTTTTATTTTTTTATTTTTGAAAGGGCTCCTCTCAGCAGAGGTTCAACAACTTTAAAATTCATCTTGGAAAAGCTCCTCTCAGCAGAGGCTCAACAACTTTAAAATCTCATCTGAAAAAGCTCCTCTCAGCAGAGGCTCAACAACTTTAAAATTCATCTTGGAAAAGCTCCTCTCAGCAGAGGCTCAACAACTTTAAAATTCATCTTGGAAAAGCTCCTCTCAGCAGAGGCTCCACAACTTTAAAATTTCATCTGAAAAAGCTCCTCTCAGCAGAGGCTCAACAACTTTAAAATTCATCTTGGAAAAGCTCCTCTCAGCAGAGGCTCAACAACTTTAAAATCTCTTCTTGGAAAAAGCTCCTCTCAGCAGAGGCTCAACAACTTTAAAATCTCATCTTGGAAAAAGCTCCTCTCAGCAGAGGCTCAACAACTTTAAAATTTCATCTTCTGTTTTCAAATTTGAGTTCTCATCTTTGAACAAGTAAATTTCCTCTTTTGAATTCCTTTGTTTGATCATTTTCTTTACCAAAATCTTGTTTTTTCATTAAGAAATGGAAAATTTCTATCTGGGTTACAACTTCTCATGGATGCATGTATTGAGTGCTCATGATGCAATGCATGTAATGCAATCAAAATCGTTCATTGTAGTAAAAAGGTTCTCGAAATCTCTCGCTTTCGGCTTCTTTTATCTGAATTCTTATATGACCAATCTGTCTTCAACATCTAACCACAATATTTTTTTTTCAAAAGTCTACAACATCAATGACTTGTCATGCTTTTCTCATCCTTTTTCATTTGCCTTTGTCAACTTTAAAAGTAATGCTGAGATCTTTCATGTTTGTTTTTCTTTTCATCATTTTAAGTTCAAGACAAATAAAATGCAATCACATTTCTCTGATGGACAAAAAATATCGAATAAGGATAAAGGAAAGGATAGGCATTATTTTCAAATGAAGGATAATGTATTTTCTATGGCTGATACCAAGTGTATGTCAAAGTGTTTGAGTTGAAATAAAGGTGTCAAAAGAATGATCACAAGATAATCATGAACAAAATATTCTCAGATTCTTTCTCTAAAACTAAATCAGATGACTTTCTTGATTATTCAAAGTTCGTCAAACTACACTTGCCCCTGCATTGTGGGATCTTTTCTTGATGATGCTTTTGCTTCACATCTAAGCCGCCTTTTCAGGTTTTCAACTTAGATAAGTCATCATTTTTTTCTTTTTTTTTTTTTTTTTTTTAAGCAAAATATTTCTTCACAACATCTGAATTTATTGGGGTAGGCAGATCACCTCCATCCATTTCTGCCAAAATCAATGCCCCACCAGAAAAGGCCTTTTTCACCACATACGGGCCTTCCCAATTTGGTGTCCATTTCCCTCGATTATCATGTTGATTTGGAAGGAATCTTTTTAGCACTAAGTCTCCTTCCCTAAAGCAACGGGGACGAGTTTTCTTGTCATGTGCTCTCATCATCCTCTTTTGATATAATTGACCGTGACAAAGTGCTGACAGTCTTTTCTCTTCAATGAGGTTTAACTGCTCGTAGCGATTTCGAACCCATTCTGCTTCCTCTAACTCTACCTCCATCAGGACTCTCAGTGAGGGAATTTCCACTTCGATCGGTAGCACAGCTTCCATTCCATATACCAAAGAGAACGGTGTGGCCCCAGTAGATGTTCTGACTGATGTTCTATAAGCATGCAAGGCAAAAGGCAACTTCTCATGCCAATCTTTGTAAGTTTCAGTCATTTTCTCCAGGATTCTCTTGATATTCTTATTCGCAGCCTCCACTGCCCCATTCATTTTTGGACGATATGGTGCCGAATTACGATGGCGGATCTTGAACTGAGTGCATACTTCATTCATCATTTTGTTGTTCAAGTTTTTGGCATTATCAGAAATAATTGTCTCCGGAAGCCCATATCTACACATTATCTCTCTTTTTATGAACTTACATACCACAGATCGGGTCACACTAGCATATGATGCAGCTTCTACCCATTTGGTGAAGTAATCAATCATCACAAAAATGAATCTATGCCCATTCGAAGCTTTTGGAGTAATGGGACCAATGACATCCATACCCCACATTGAGAATGGCCAGGGAGGAGCTAGAACGTGTAATGTTGATGGTGGAGCATGAATCTTGTCAGCATAAATCTGACATTTATGACATCTCCTAGCATAATCAATACAGTCACTCTCCATTGTCAACCAATAATAGCCAGCCCTCATTATTTGTCTAGCCATCATATGACCATTTGCATGTGCCCCACAAATTCCATCATGCACTTCTTCAATAATCTTCTTTGCTTCAGCTGCATTTACACATCTTAAGAGCACTTGATCTCGACCTCTTTTGTAAAGGATATCTCCATCAATGAAGAAATTCATAGCCAATCTTCTAATAGTTCTTTTATCATTTTCTGTTGCATGTTCTGGGTACTGCTGGCTTTTAATGTATTGCATGATATCATGATACCATGGCCTTCCATCAATTTCTTTTTCAACACCTGAGCAATGTGCTGGTATATCTTTCACATCCAGCTTGATGGGTTGGATTTCAGTATTTGCATCTATTTTGATCATTGCAGCTAGAGTAGCCAGTGCATCAGCAATTTGGTTTTCCTCTCTGGGTAGATGCTCAAACTGAACTTCTTTAAATTGCTTAACCAACTCAGAGATGTATTTATGGTACCGAATCAACTTAGAGTCTCTTGTTTCCCATTCACCTCGTAACTGATAGATGACTAAAGCTGAATCTCCAAACACATCTAACATTTTGATCTTCTTTTCAATTGCTGCTTGTAGACCCATAACACAGGCCTCATATTCAGCCACATTGTTTGTGCAATTAAAATTTAATCTGGCTGTGATGGGGTAATAATGTCCATCAGGAGATATCAAAATTGCCCCAATACCATGACCCAAAGCATTAGCAGCTCCATCAAAATACATCCTCCATGATTTTTCAACAGGTTCATTTTTTTCAATGGCCATCACATCCTCATCAGGAAAATCTAATTTCATTGGCTCATAATCTTCGACTGCACGATCAGCAAGGAATTCAGCTATTGCACTCCCTTTAATAGCTTTTTGAGTCACGTAAATGATATCATATTCTGAAAGCATAACTTGCCACCGTGCTATTCTTCCTGTCAATGAGGGCTTTTCGAAGACATACTTAATAGGATCCAGCTTTGCTATGAGCCAAGTAGTGTGATAAAGCATGTATTGTCTAAGCCTTCGAGCTGTCCAGGTTAATGCACAACACATCTTCTCTAATGGTGAATACTTTGACTCATAATCAGTGAACTTCTTGCTCAAGTAGTAAATTGCTCGTTCTTTCCTGTCAGTTTCATCTCTTTGCCCCAGCACACATCCCATTGAATTTTCATGCACTGTCAAGTACAAAATCAAAGGTTTTCCTGGCATTGGTGGCATCAACACAGGTGGATTTGACAAGTATTCTTTGATCTTATCAAAAGCTTCTTGGCATTCGTCATTCCATTCTCCAGGATCATGTTTTCTGAGAAGCTTGAAAATAGGATCACACTTATAAGTGAGTTGAGAGATGAAGCGAGCAATATAATTTAATCTCCCTAAGAAACCTCGCACTTCTTTTGAGGTATGAGGAGGAGATAAGTTTTGGATGGCTTGTATCTTATCCGGGTCCACTTCGATTCCTTTTTCACTGACTACAAAGCCCAATAGTTTTCCTGATTTGGCTCCAAATGTACATTTGGCAGGATTCAACTTCAACTGAAATCTCCTCAACCTGTCGAACAGCTTTTTGAGATTGACGATATGATCCTCTCCTTCACGAGATTTTGCAATCATATCATCCACATACACTTCTATCTCTTTATGCATCATGTCATGAAAAAGAGTCACCATTGCTCTTTGATAAGTAGCACCAGCATTTTTCAACCCAAAAGGCATGACTTTGTAACAGAATGTTCCCCACATGGTCACAAATGTAGTTTTCTCCATATCATCTCGAGCCATCTTGATCTGATTATAGCCTGAGAAACCATCCATAAAGGAAAACGTGGAGTGCCTAGCAGTATTATCCACTAGAGTATCGATGTGAGGTAAAGGAAAGTTATCCTTAGGGCTTGCTCTATTCAGATCTCGATAATCGACACACATTCTCACTTTTCCATCCTTCTTAGGAACTGGCACTATGTTGGCTACCCATTCAGGATATTTTGCCACTTCCAAAAATCCAGCATCGAATTGTTTCTTCACTTCCTCTTTAATTTTCAGCAGCATCTCTGGTTTCATGCGCCTTAGCTTTTGCTGCATCGGCTTACATCCTGATTTTAAAGGTAACTTGTGCTCTACAATATCAGTGCTGAGTCCTGGCATATCTTGATAAGTCCATGCGAACACATCTACATATTCTCGGAGTAGCTCTTCTAGCTTCTGTCTTTCAGCTGGTAAAAGAGATGTACCAACTTTGACCTCTCTTTTGTTCTCACCACCTCCCAAATTTACTGATTCAGTAATTTCTTGGTGGGGTTCAATTGGCTTATCTTCATGTTCTATTAATTTTAACAAATCAAGAGGCAATGTGTAGTTATCTGAATCTTCCTCATTATCAAGTTCATCAACATGAATTAAGTTTTCAAAATCAAATCCGAGATTATTGCCATGATTATCTTCATGTTCATTGTTTGGGACCCTGCAAAGGGTAAGATGAAGAAAATATTGGCACACAAAGATGGAATGACAAGAAAATGTAGGAAAGAAAAGAATGAAAGGTAAAATGAAGATAAAAACAATAGAAAAAATATGGATGCATCTTCTAAGTCTTTTATTAAAATGACAAACATAAACACACCATAAAAGATCTCCTAATAAAAAGTAATTAGGGATTTAAAGTTTCACATTACTTTTCCAAAGTTTTAAAAACAACAGGCAGCTCCATAACTTTCCAATTATCCAGCTCAAAATCTGAAGGACAAGGGTACACGAACAACTCTTCACTTCGACTCTTCTTTTCCCCATCATCCACCATTTGAATGGCCAGCTCTGAAAATTTTTCCATGAATCCTGCACTTGAGGCTCTCGGTAAATCTGAATAAATGTATCCTCCTGAGTGAAAAGAATCATAGAGGTGTGGAATGACTATAGGCTCTGACTCCAGCTCATATCCCTTAAGATTAGCTATCCTCTTATCTCTTTTCTCATTCACCATTCTTGTTCTGTCCCCTCTTGTTGGCTTATATCCCAAGCCAAATCTATCTCTCTTTTCATTTATAGTCGATGGCTTCGTGATTCCTTGCAGGTTCTTCCCAAGTCCGGCTTCAGGTCGCCATCCCATCTTGGTAAGCTGTTTGACTACCATTTTAGTAGTCGTAGATAAGTATGGCGAATACAATTTAGATCCTCCAGCTATATATGTTGCATTGGCAATCTCGAAAGATCTATAAGAGCATTCTAAAGCTTCATCTGCTGATTCCACATAAGGAGTATTTATCGGTTGAGTTACCAATAAATCTTCTTCTCCTGCCACACATGTTAGCTTCCCTTCAACAATGAATTTGACTTTTTGATGTAATGAGGATGGAACAGCACCTGCCATATGGATCCACGGCCTACCCAATAAGCAACTGTATGAAGGAGAGATGTCCATAACTTGAAATTTCACATTGAAAATGCATGGGCCAATTTGCAATGGCACTTCTATATCTCCTAGCACCTCTCTTCTGGTTCCATCAAAGGCTCTCACTATCATATGACTAGGTTTCATATAAGATCCATCAACAGGAAGTTTTGTCAAAGTAGTCACAGGCATAACATTGATGGATGAACCATTATCAATCAAAACCTTAGCCATTATATGACTTTTACATTTCACAGTAATGTGAAGAGCCTTGGTACTTCCTCTACCTTCAGGAGGAATCTCTTCATCACTGAAAGAGATATAGTTTGAAATCGTCAGATTGCCAACAAGCTGTTCCACATATTCAACAGAAGCATTGTGAGACACATATGCTTGATTTAGCACTTTCAGCAAAGCATTACGGTGTGACTCTGAACTGAGCAATAATGACAATAGCGAAATTCTAGCTGGCATCTTGTTCAGCTGTTCTACCACGCTATACTCGCTATGTTTTATTAACTTCAAAAATTCACCTGCTTCACTTTCAGATACTGGCTTCTGCCATTCTTTTTCTAGGGTTGTGTCAAGACCACTCTGATTTTCATTTTCTTCTCCTACTTTGGCTTTCTCCTTTCTAGCTTTTTCTAGAGCTTCTGGGGTATAACACCTCCCACTTCGAGTTATGCCTCCTACACCCGTTATGTTGGCAGTATCTGGGTTAACTACGACATCATAATCATACTTCCAAGGTACTGTTTTATCATTCTGATATGGAAAAGGGCCAGGAACTTTAATTGTCACCACTGGTCGAGAGACGGGTTTTTCTAGCTTTGATGTTGGCTTTTCATCATAATAGATAGTTACCGGTCTACGTACAAACTTATTCTTTGAATCAATGGTAGACACTTCAGTTTTCACCAACTCTCCTCTTTCTTGATAAAACTCCATTCGACCTTCATCTATCAATTTTTGCACCTCCTGACGAAATTGATGACAATTCTGGATAGAATGCCCCAGAACACCTCTGTGATAATTGCAGCTTTCAGTTGAGTTTATTATTTCAGAGTAATTTTGAGGTTCTATTGGCTTCAACATGTCAGTTTTGACCAATACTTCGAACACCTTAGCCATAGGAGTTTTGACCTCTTCTATTCTTCTTTTCACATAGCTTGTTTGCCCATCAATCAAAGCATTTATTGATGGTCTGGTATGATTCGGTAGAGGGTTCCCATTGACATTTGGAGTCCCTTGTTGGCTGGTATCAAAATTTAATACTCCTTCATTGATTAACCCCTGCACTTTACGCTTCAAAGCAGTACAGTTCTCAGTGGAATGACCTGGATTCCCATAATGATAATCACAATGTGCATTGGGGTCATACCATTTGGGAAACGGAGGTTTCATAGGTTCAATGATAACAGGAGCAAGCAGATGTTTCTCAACAAGTCGAGGATACAAATCTGTATATGTCATGGGAATGGGATCGAAAGTGAGTTTTTCTTGGGTATTTCTTGGGGCTCTTGGACCACTATTAGGTCTCCAGTCTGGTCTTGTAGGTATAACAGGACGATTATAGGAATAGGTGGGTGTTCGAAAGGATGGCTGAAAACGGGGTGAATAAGCTGGTTGTGGTAATGACTGGTATGGTTGATATGAATGGGGGGTGGATGTAACATGGTTTACAGAAGGGTAATGGGTTTGGTAGACTGGTACAGAGTAGGGTGTGAAACCTCTGAATTGTTGCCCCACAAAATTTACTGCTTGGGCCTCATTCTCTTTCTTTCTAGGAGCTCCACTCTTTCTTGCTCCACTTGTCTCTCCCACATCAAGCTTACCATTTTTTATGGCACTTTCAATGATCTCTCCTGATATCACCATATCTGTAAAGTTCTTGGTTGCATTGCCTATCAATCTCTCATAATATGGTGCTTTCAAGGTGTTCACAAATAAAATAGTTGTTTCTTTTTCAGTGAGAGGAGGTTGGACTTGTGCAGCCACATCTCTCCACCTTTGTGCATACTCCTTGAAGTTTTCAGTTGCTTTCTTTTCCATGCTTTGAAGAGATAGACGATCTGGAATCATATCCGTGACATGACGATATTGTGTAAGGAATGCCTTTGTAAGCTCTTGCCAAGAATGAATACGAGTTCTATCTAGTTGGACATACCATCTAGCTGCAGAACCCGTGAGACTATCTTGAAATATGTGCATTAACAACTTCTCGTCTCGAGCATATGCTGCCATCTTTCGACAATACATGATGATGTGGGTCATTGGACATTTTGTGCCATCATATTTTTCAAATTCAGGGACCTTGAATTTAGTTGGAATTACCACGTCTGGAACTAAACAAAGGTCAGCCGCATCTGTGGAGCCATAAAAATTCATTCCCTCTACAGCCCTAAGCCTTTCTTCCAATAACTTCATCTTCTCCCGGGCACTAGTATCTTCTACCTTTTCAGGTGTCTGGATCCCTAGCTTTTCTCTTTCCTTGGGATCATCCAAATCAGGTACTAAGATTGGCTCAGATGGTTTTTCCATCATAATGGGATTAACAAAATTTTGAAATTGTCCTGGAGCAGGTGTGGATGTTATTCCTGGATAAGGATTAGGATATCCACCAAGAGTAGGAACTGGTAGTCTAGTTCCTTGTGAAGGTTGGTTCAGTCGTGGTTCAAACCCTGGAGGATAGACAGGATCGACCATATCTGGTGATTGCTCTTGAAGGCTAGGATTTTCTTCCACTGCTTTTGCCTTGTCAAGCTTTTTGAGCATAGCCATTATTACGCTAAGATCTCCTTTTAGTTCTTCTTGAGCTTTTTCAATTCTCTCAAATCTACTGGCTTGTTCTTGCTCCATGATTCTTGTCTGTGTCCTGGTATTGTATGAATGACGAGTAGGTTGGACCGAAATTTTTGATGGGCGAGCTATTCTTGAACCTTTATTACCACAAAATTTTTGTTTTGAGAGAAAAAAAAAATTAGAATGTTATGTGTTGAAAAATGATGCATATGATGCATGAATGCAAGTGGGAGATATTTGCTTTTGGACGAACTTCAACATTAGAAATTTTTATTGATCCTATACAACTGTCATTACATAGGATTTAACATCCTAGAGTTATATCCATAAAAGCGTTTGACTTGCGCATAATGGTCTTTCGTCTCATCTAGAAAGTTCACTAGGCGCTGTCCATATTCTCCTATGGGATTGACTTCTTTTCTTAATGCTTCTACCTTTTCAACCATCTCCCATGCTTTCTTCACTGCCTTGCAAACTTGATTAGTCAAGTGATCTATGTACTGTTGCCTCCCTAGGCTTTCTGCCTTCCATCTCATGTGGGCATCCCTCTCTGAATCACATGTAAAGATCCAATCTTTTTCCCTTCTATGCCACTCATCTATCATTACTGAAATATGGCTCTTGTGGTCTTGTAGTTCTATCTCTAACCCTTGGATCACCTGGTGAAGTGATTCTTTTTCATTCAGTACTTCAAAATGCTTTCTTCTCTCTTTTGCAAGCATGACTTTCAACCTTTCCTTTTCATTTTGGCATTCCACCAATCTTGCTGAAGTTGTAGAGTATAATCCCTTCCAATTCTGACATTCTTGAAAAATTCTGGTGGTCTCCTCTTGCTTTTCTTGAGCTTTGCCCTTCCATTGGTTTATTCCCTCTCGGAGCTCATCCATTTCTCGTTGTCGACTAAGGTAAGACTTGGTAACTTTTCCAGTTTTGAATTGAACTCGTAGCCTCTTATTTTCTTGGTGTAGATTTTTCAAATCACTATTAGCCAGATCTCGCTCTTTTATGACTTTTTCTAATTTGCTCCCTTGTATCTCCGCTTCATATTTCAATTGCCCTACCTTCTCGCGAAGTCTCAAATTTCCCTTCTTATTTCTTCTTTTTCAGCTTCTAATTCTTTCTTGATAAGCTCAACTTCTGATAATTGCACTTCTTCTGAAAGATTAACCAATTGATATGAGCTATCATCTGGAGGGAGTACTATATCTCTAAGGCGCATTGCCTTCCAAATCTGGTAATCAGAAGTGACTTTATCGATGAGAGGCCCTAACCTCATTCTTTGTGTTCTCTTCCATGCTTGGATCAACTGCTCTGGGGTTCTTGATGGATTCGATTCTCCGTAAATGAATTCTACTTGGACCAGGCCATAAGTAGCAGGAACAAACTGTTTCGCACCAAATTGCCTAAGTACCATCAATGGAGCGTAGCTTACAACACCCCATAGCCCTAATAACGGAATCCATGGCTCATTTCCTCCACGATACAACAAGGGCACACGAGGCATCCAAGGCGCCATCCATTCAATTTTATCCCCAGTAAGCTTTCGCAAGAAAAGGACCCATTCTTCCTTAGTCTTTAACGTCGGCCATTGGCTTTTACAAAACTCTTCGATTGGTGCCTTGTTTCGAAGATATGGTTTTGAAAATGCACTCTTCCCACATTTGAAATGACTTCTGACCCATATATACAATAGAGATGCACATCCTATGAATCGTCCTTTCCCCTTTCGTCGACAGAAATTCAATGATCTGATAGTTTCGGCTAGGACTGCTGGAGCAGGATTAATTGCCTGGGTTTTGATTTGCTCGAAAAAGTCTACCACAGTTATCTCAATATAACCCAAAGTCTTCGGAAAGATTATCATGCCATACAATGCTAGAGCAAACACATCCATACCTTGATCGTTATCCAAATGCTCCTGAATGAAGTTTCGGAGAAAGTCCCAACGAATGCCGAGATGTTCACCTTTAGACTTCACAAAAGAATCAATGGTTTCTACCTTAACCCCCATAAGCTTGGCTAACTTTTTACGGTAACCTGATTTTGGCTTTCGAGTAAACACCTTATCCGGACATTGTAGTTCTATCCCGAGCAAAATCGAATACTCCTCGATAGTTGGCACCAAATCTTCCTGATTAAAGGTGAAACATCTATATGATGGATCCCAAAATTGTATAGCTGCTTTGACCAGCTGTTCATCAATCACTATTGAAATGAGGGATGCAATCTGCCCATACTTTTTGCAAAAGCTTTCTTTTCTTTCCTCACTTAACTGACCCCAGATAGCAGCTAACTCTTTTAAATCATTCTGTGTGAGATCTAAATGCACTTTCTCGGGTAACTCAGACACATAACTGGTAGGCAAACAATCTCCGTTCTTTTGTTGAGCCTCTTTTGACCAGACATGTACTTCATTATACGACTCACATGGCACACTAACCGAGGATGAGCAAATCTGTAGTTCTATGGGATCCATGAAACTTCTTAGGAGAAATGTGTCCTTGAGCAAATATCTCGATGCAAAACTGTATGATATGATTAATGCAAAATTGAGTTAGTGTGATTTGAAAAAAAACATTTTTTTGTTTTTTTTTTGTTTTTTTAATGTTTTTGAGATTTTTTTTTTGTTTCGTATTACACACAACTTTTATTCTTAGGTACTTTCTAAGAGAAGGTGGACGGGGCTCTACATAAGGTTGGTTTCCTAGGCTTATTATATGCTGGGTTTGGATTGACAGGGTCTAAAGGTTCCCAAATTGTTCCTCACTGTCGTCCATATTGGACTAGTAAGGCACCCCGATCCTCACGGAAAGGGTTCAATTCGAGTGAAAGTATTTCGCTTGCCATTGCGGAGGTTATCACCTCACGAGAGCATAGGTACTTTACTTCCTCCTATAAAGGACGGAGCCCGGGTATAGAGCTCATGTATGAGATGCATCGTGCCATTGTGTGCAAAATATATCCTAATTTATTGAAAGCAATATATAAAATAAAACATAAGAGGCATAGTAAGATAAATGTATGTGAATTTTTTTGCTTTTTATTGTTGATTTGTTTTGTTTTGTTTGGTTTTTCTTTTTTACCTTTTTTTTTACTAAGAAATTGATTAAGACTATTTAAATCAAAATTTGAGGATAACAAGTAGTTAATTTTGGCCTGACTCTCGAAAACAAAAGGCGTCCCCAGTGGAGTCGCCAAGCTGTCGTAACGGTTTTGTGTCCGCCCGACGAATTTGGAAACGAAATAAAAAATAACGGAGTCGCCACCAATCTTTTTTGGCTAGGTGCGATTGGCCACCTATTAAAACATATCCTTTTAATGAAATCTTAAAATTAATTAAAATTTATTAAAAAGATAATTTTACGGTCTGCGAAACAGTCTGGGTTCGGGAGTCGATTACGCGTGGGGAAGGATTAGCACCCCCACAACGCCCGTTAAAAAACGGTACCAATTAACAACGTGTTATCCTTTGATTTTGATACAAACAGTCTTATTTTCAGTATTCGAAAAATAATTTCTTTGATTTTATTTATTAAATTATTCTCGAGAAAAATAAATCAAAACCTTTTTATTGAAATAATTCTTAAAATGTTTCCAGTACGTTGGGTAACATTAAAGAACTCTTTCTCACCTAGAGATTTCTTAAAGCATCTCTACTCGGAATACTTTTAGAATCTCATCTTTGGAGGTCTAAATTTACTTTTCGTAAGAAATTATGTTATGCATGCCATGCAAAATATTTTCGTGTTTATGCACACATTTATTCTCATTCAAAAATTTTTATTAATTTTTATTAATTTATTAATTTTAATTAAAATTTGAAGAAAAAGGAATTTAATCATATTGAAGATTTTCTATAAATATTCCAATACGCGGTAATATTTACAAAAAATCTTCTCACTAGAGATTTCTTAAAGCATCTCTACTCGGAATACTTTTAGAATCTCATCATTGGATTAAATTTCTTTTCTTCTTATTTTTATTACTTAATTTTAATTATATTCATTAATTTTTATTTATTATTCTTAAAAAAAGAAAACCTTTACTGTATTGAAAATTTTTATAAATACTCCAATACGCTGGTAGTACTTAAAAAAATCTTCTCACCTAGAGATTTCGTAGGCATCACTACTCGGAATACCTTTGAATCTCATCATCGGATAAAAATTTCCTCTTCTCTTATTTTTTATTAGTTATATTTTAATTTATTAATCAATTTTATTTATTATTTTTTTAAAAAAGAAAATCTTTACTGTATTGAAAATTTTTTTATAAATACTCCAATACGCTGGTAGTATTTTAAAAAAAATCTTCTCACCTAGAGATTTCGTAGGCATCACTACTCGGAATACCTTTGAATCTCATCGTCGGATAAAAATTTCCTTTTCTTTCATTTTTTACTACTTTAGTATTATTATTAAATTTATTTTTTATGTTATTGTTTTTAAAGTTTATTCTAAAAAATAACATAATTATATAAAAAATTATTTAACCACAATTTCATTAATTAGTCTAACAAATATAGATATTTTAATATGCATAAATATTAATAAAATAATACTTAAAAAATAAGAAAAATTCAAAAAAAAAAATAATTTTTTTTACCTGAACCGGACCGGTCAACGGTCCGGTCAACTCCTGGTTCGGTTCGGCGGTTCGGTTCGGTCTGGTTGGTTCGGTCCGGCGGTTCAGTTCGATCTGGTTGGTTTGGTCCGGCGGTTCGGTTCGGTCCAGTCAGACCGGTCAGAGATGATAAAGGCAGCGGGTCGCGGGTCGGGTGCGCGGACCCCGGGTCGGGTCGCGGGTTGACGCGCGGATCCTCCTTGGCTGAAACGGCATCGTTTTGGGTCTTTATCTAAACGACGTCGTTTTGAGATTTTGCTTTACTATATATAGCTGAAGATTTTTTTTTTGGTTCATTTGGCTTCTGTTTCAGAAAAAAAAAGGGAGAGAGGGAGAGAGAGAGCTCTGGGGGAGAGGTCGTCGGTCGGTTGCCGGAGCACCGTGCCGGCCGCCGTCTGGCTCGCCGCCGGCAGTCTTGGACGGTGGTTTCCGATGACCGGGAAAGGTGAAAATTCTTCTGGA